CCCACTGGGGCCTTCATTTGGTGGTGGGGGAGTCCGGACTATCACTGAAAGCTGCGGGGATTTCAACCAGGGAATTTCAGAACAGTTTCCAGAGCTGTGCCCGAGCCCTGAGACCAGAGAGGACCATCCGGGAGAGCCAGGGGACCTCCCCACCAGGCCTAGAGTGAAGCCAAGGGTGCCTGGAGCTACCCACAGGCCCGCCTGAGGGACTCACAACTGTGTGCCCTTTCCCCCTCCCAGAGCCCAGAGGGGTCCTGTCTTTACACCAAGCCTACCCTCTTTCTCAGGCCTGAGGGTAGAGCTCAGATAGACAAGATGAGGGTACTTAACCCCTCTCTCCCCACGGAGAGGCCCAGGGGAGCCAAGGAGCCAGCCAGTGCAGGGCCCCAGGGGCTGAGCGCCAGGAGCCAGGGGTCAGTCATTCACTTCATAAACATGTTTTGAGCACCCATTCTGTGCCAGTCCCAGGCTCTGCCGTCAAATTGTTGGCCGTGTGAGTGGGAGGCAGACCCTACACAAGTAATTATCTGCAACTGGGCTGCTGAGCGGGAGGGGCAGGGGGATCAAGGTTTGCTGGGGCACAAAGAGGGCAACTCATCCTGGCAGAAGTTTCCTAACAACGAGGCCTTGGGCATCCTGGGGTGAGCGATAGCTGGGGGGAGTGTGCGGCAGTGTTCACTGGTGTACCCTCTTGCAAAGGGACGTGAGGGGAGACATTTCGGCAGCAAGGGCGTCTGGTGAGTGTAGATTTCAGACAACCCACTTTAAAGGATCACGACCTCACGTCCCCCACCCCAAGGCTCAGGCTTGAGTTTCACTTTCCTGCCCCTGGGCTGAAAGTAAGGCCGGGCCCTCTTTTGCCTTCTCCCCGGGGGAGGGGCGGGGGGTACTAGTCCTCGCCTCTTTCAGAGAATTACCTCTGGGCCCCAATGTCTGCGTCAGCCCCTGGGTTAGCCCCTGCTCCTCTTCACCAGGCCCCACGGGCTCCAAAGGGCCTCAGGCCTCTGTCCCTCCCCCGCCCGGCTCTTCCTCATCACAAGTCATTACCTATTAATGTCCCTGTGAGTGAAGGCGGGGCAGGCGCCATGCTGGGCAAGGCCTGGGCTGGACTTTGTGCCCTGCAGCTTGGGAGGCAGCAGCAGCCCTCCCCTCCCAGGCTGGAGATCATTCAGGAAGGAATAGGGAGAAAGGAAGAAGCAGCTGAGGACAGAGAGGGGCTCACGGGTATAGAGGGTGAAATCAACTACTTGCTGTCGATTGCTTTCTGGATGTTCCCTCCTTAGTGTTTCACAGCTAATTGACCCACTGGGAATGATTTGTATTCTAAACCCATAGTGCCTTAGACTCTAAGGCTTAGAGGTAGTGTGTTGTCCTGGACAGTGCTATGTGACCTTGAACCAGCTATTAACCTCTCCGTGCCTCCGTTCTCTAATTAAATGAGGATAGCAATCATGTTTAACTAGTAAGGTTACTGTGAGTGCTGGAGGAGATCTACACACGTGGAAGGAGCTTAACTCGACCCTGGCACTTAGTGAGGCCTCAACCACCGTTCACTGCTGTTGTCTATTATCTGGGGCTGCACAGAATTAGGTTCAAATTGCAACCCTGTCCCTCTCTTGAGCCACGTCATCCTCCAAGTGTTAGTTTCTCAGTTATG